AAAAAAAAAAAAAAAAAAAAACCAAATAAAATATATATGGTCATCAGATTCCCAGGTAAAGATAGTAAATTGATCCCAAGTGTCTGATTTTTCTTCTCTTGAATGCATAAACCAGTTGTATATTCATGCAATGGAATATTATTTGACCACAAAAAAGAATCAAGTATTGAAACATGCTACACCAGGGTAAACCCTGAAAACATCATGCTAAATGCAAGAAACTAGACACAAAAGACCACATATATGGCTCCATTTACATGAAATACCCAGATTAAGAAAATCCATGGTGACAGAAAGTGATTAAATGATTCCTACACTGGATAGAAATGAGAAGTGACTACTGCTGGGTATAGGTTTCTTTCCTGGGTGTTGAAAATGTCCTAAAATTAGATTGTGATGGTGACACAACTCTGAATACATTAAGAACTGGTGAACTGTACACTTTAAAGGGGTGGATTCCATGGAATGTGAAAAATGTCCCAAAGCTGTTTAGATATCTTATTAATTGTAAGAAAACTGGCAAAATATAGAGATGTGGTCAATATTTCATAGGACTAGAACAAGTTTCCCAGTTTGATGACTCATGGGGTTCCTGTGAGAACATTTTCAATTTGCAATAACCTTGTAAAGTGCATTGGTCTTCAAACGATGAAACAAGTCAGCATTTGGTAATTAGAGGTTCCCCAAAGTTCAGCGGTCAGGTTTTTACTCAATCAGAAAAGTAGGTCAGGAAATGTTGTTTTACAATGTCTTATAACCTAACCCTAACACATGCTTATTAACTGTTTACAGGGGTTTATTAGGACCTATTTGTCTTTTGGGGTGACACTAAGAAGAAAAGGAAAAAAAGTGGTCAGCCAGGATTCTCACTGAAGTTTTCTTTACTAAAGCTGACTTCTTGGTCCCTTGGGTGTGAAATGGAGTGGGAGCAAAGAGCCCATGTGTCACAGTGATTACAGAGCCAGACTCTGCACACGGATAAGCCTAGCTTGGAATAGTGTCCCTGCCACTTAGTAGCTGGGTGTCTCGAGTCACACAGCTCCCCTGTGCCTCCATTTCCTGCTCTCTAAAATGGGAATACTATACAAAGTCCAGTATTTGAGGGCCAGGCCTAATCTACTGTAGCATGCCTAGAAGTGGTACATTTATTTTGAAAAGATTGTTAGTAGGCATTCACAGTAGTATATCTTGGTGGTCTTTTTCCTGACTTAAAAAAGGGGATGGGCATCTCCAATAGAACAGGATCTTATTCTTCTTTGTTATTAGTTCTGTTTCATTTTGATGTGTTTATTATTAAGTTACTCATCAAAACACTTTTCTGAAACTCTGCTATCGGTCAGGAAGCTAAGAATTAAAGTACTTGATTGCCAAATATGAATTTTCTTGTCTAATGTGGCTCCACTTCTCCTAAGCAAAAGTGTATAGAGTACAGAGTCAGAGTGAGCTGCCAGGCTGCTGAATTCCATCCCTTTAATGAGTTGGAGGCAGAAAGGAATGCTATGAGAAAGAGGGGTTGTATATCTCCACAGCACAAAACTGTCCTCTAAAGCCCTAATAATCCCAGAGATTTCTTGCAGGCTAAGCAGAAATATGTGTTTACGATACAAACATCCCAATGACCTATCACTCAATCATCCATGGAATTCTTCTTTTTATTGCCCTCAGATTTGGACAAGAGAAGAGCGGCCCCTAACCTCAAGGACCACACAATACCGCACACACATTAAAGAACATGTATATATCCTTGTCGCTTGGGCTCTGGTAACACTGGCACGTCACTACACCCAACCTTAAACATCCATTCTTGAGCCCAACATTATTCATGCCTCAGAGACTATTTTTCCACATTTCTGGCCTTTTGTTCTCTCTGGTCTAAACAGGTTGCTCCTGCCAGTATCAGAGCTAGGCACTGCCTCAGAGCACAGAGGGCCGACACAGCAAGACCCCTTAGTAAGAAAAAAGGCAAAGTAATTAACTTGTCAATTCCTTCCTCCCAGAGAACATGAATGAAATAGATTTGGTATAGCAAAGTATCTTTCCCTGTAATGCTGAGCATCTTTTTTCTTTTGTATTCTATTTGTGGTTCCTAAAGTACTTGTGAAGTACCGTGTTGATGCCAAAAATGCACACGGGTAGTTCAGAAATATACACTAATGATAAAAGAATTCACATTACTCATTTATAAGGCTAGATAACAGAAGTGAAGTGTGATCCTGATTTTTTCCTCTTTTTTATTTGAATCTTTCTTCTTCTTTCTTTCTTTCTTTCATCCTTTCTTTCTACTAAGGATTGAACACAGTCCCTCTCAAATGGTAGGCATGCACTCTACCTCTGAGCTACATTCTCAGCCCCTCAAATTTAAGATTTTTCTGGCTTAGTCTCTCAAATAGCTGAAATTATAAGCATGTGCCACCACACCCAGCTCTAATGGTTATTTATGTTGGCAATTCAGTTGACAGAATGAATGCTGGAGTTGTGAATAGCGTTTTTTCTAATTATTTAAAATTGTTTTCCATTGTCAACATTTAAATAAAAGTCCCAGCTTTATTAAAATATTTTTTTTTTGCAATAGTGGGGATTAAATCCAAGACTTTGTACTGAATTATGTCTGAGTTTTTTTTTTTTATTCTAAGACAGGGTAAGAAAGAGTTTTGCTAATTTGCTCAGGCAGCACTTGCATTTGCAACCCTTCTGCCTCAGTTTCCCAGAGTGTTGGGATTATAGGCATGAGCCACCATATCTGTCTTTCACGTTTATTAATTATAATTCCTAATTTACCTTTAATGTTAATAATTTCCATTCTTTAAAAATAAATTTTCTTCTAAAATATTCAATTTTATTTCTACATTTAATTTCATTTTATACTTTTGATGGAAATAAACTCAAATTTGACACTTTTTGAACATAAATATAGATTTTAAAATTTTTTTAAATTTTAAAATATAGTTTTTTTAATTCTTTAGGTAATTATCATCAAAATCATACAAATTACTTATACTTTGGTCATAATTATACAACTAGTAAGTTTTTCTGCTACAAAAGGAAAAATATAGGGACTAGATGATCATTCATAAACCATGTATTTATCCATCAATAGTATGTGCCTAGTAGTTAAATTTAGCTATTTTATGTTTTATGGACTTTCAGATATATGAATACTGTAATTTTCCAATTTTAAAAAATTTTACCATTTATAAAGCCATACTTATCAGTATAGGAATAGAAGATAAATATTGTTTAACAGTTCTATTTATAATTTTTAAACATTTAGTCTGTTTTTCCCTATATCTTACACACCATAAAGGTTAAGGATGGGCCCAGACGGTTTAATCAGATAATCTGATTATTCTTTTTCTAAAATGTAACTAATGATTACTAACTTACTGAAATTAAATGTGTGCCAGGGCTAGCTACATAGAATCTCATGTAATATCTCATTAAATTCTCTCGAGAGCCCTGTCTCATTATCTCCACTTTACAGAAAGGAAAGTGAGGCTTGACCCACTCGTATAACTTGCTTATGGTCACACAATCACTAAGTCTCGGAGCTGGAATCTGAATCCAAGAGGCTTGAATAACTCTGGGCAAGCAGACTCAGGGAGAGATGAAGTTGTTCCAGGGAACATCTCTGAGGTAACAAAGGCTGCCAGTTACCTGAACAGACAAGCAGGAGCACCAGCTGATCAATTCTACATGTTCTCTGGGGTTCAACAATGGGTGGATGAGAAAAATATCCCATTTATTTTTGTTACTCTTGAATGCTCAGTCTCTCTCTCTCTCTCTCTCTCTCTCCTTTCCTCCTTCCTACCTTCCCACCTTCCCTCCCCCATCTCCTTCCCTCCTTCCCTCCCTTCCTTCCTTTCATCCTTCCTGCCTGCCTGTGTGCAAATATATACTGAGATAGTACTATTTACTAAGCACAATGCCAGATACTGAACAAAATGTACAAGGTCTTATTCTTATAGAACTTACCATCTAGTTGGGAGATAAACTGCAAACCAACACAAAAATAATGAAAATTACAGTAATAAAGGCTATTAAAGAAAAGTAGAGAGTGCTTGGATGTCAGGAATGTGACATATCGAGTTAACCATCAAAGGGTCAGAAGACTATCCCAGGCTGAGAAAGTAGCTTGCATAGAAGCCCAGTGAACAGAGGGTGCCTGTTGGTTAGAGCAAGAAGGTCCTAAGAGGAGATCAGTAAAGTTGGATGTATACAGGGGGAAACGTTCCAGACCTTTTGTCTCAAGGGTCTCCACATTACAGCCCACTGGCCAAATCCAACACGCTTCCTGCTCATATAAATAAAGTTTTATTGGAGCACAACCATATCCATTTGTTTACTGCCTATGACTGATGCTTTCAGCTGCAACAGCAAGGTTGAATAGTTGCAATGAGGCCACTATGCCCCACAAAGCCTGAAGTATTTATTCTCTGCCCTTTCAGAAAACGTTCACAGGCACCTGACCTAGTCAGTGGAGATCAGAGCTTTACAGCCGATCAAAGATCATAGGCTTTATCTTAACCCTAACAGCAGTGGGAAACCAGTGAAGTGTTTTAAGAGGGAAGAAGATAGGGAACGATAGGCTTCAGTTTTATAAGAAGTAATTAGAGGCCAAGTAACTACCTACTCTGCCAGGATATCCCAGTTCAGCCCTTCCAAAGACCTCTTTCAAAGGACTGTGGCATTACTCTCTGCAGGTATGGGCTCCAGGTGCTTTCTTGCCTGTGGCTGGAGTCCCTTGTCATTTTCTTCTTATCTGATCTTCCATATTAGTCAGATTATTTGGGGAGCAAATGATAAAACATATACCAGCTATAAAGAAAAAAAAAAGAATGGGCAGGCAATAAGTTTGTTCCAAGAAAGAGCAACAGAAAACAGAGCCTGCGGAACCTGAGCCAATAGCTCATCGTATTGAGAACCATCTGTCTCTCCACTCACCTCTTATCTTTCCATGACTGATTGGCTTCCTGTGCAAATAGACGTTCTCCACTGAGTGATGCCAGATGGCACTCAGCAATAAGAGAGAACTTATTTTCTACAGCAGCATGTAGATTCTGACTGGCCCCCTGTGAGACACGTGCCTAGCCGCTCTAGAGCAATCACTGTGGTCAGAGGGACTGGGTACACAAATTGGCCAGACCTGTATCAGTTATGTAACTACCCTTATATATGTGTGTGTGGGGGGGGTAAAACTGAGAACTCTAGGAGAACAATATCATAGAGGAAAGGAGAGGTTCCCCTTCCAAAAAATAATAGTAAGGGCTATAATTCCAGCACTCTTGGAGACTGAGGCAAGAGAATGGAAAATTTGAGCCTAGTCTGGGCAACTTAGTGAATTAGATCCCATCTCAAGCCCTAGTTTGAATCCCCCAGGGAATCAGCAGAGTTGCATGCCTTCTGGAGGCTGTAGGGAAGAAGTCACTTCCTTACCCTTGCCAGCTTTCAGAGGTTGAATGTACTAGACCCTTCCTTCTGCAAAGCCAGCAATGGCCAGTTGAGTCATTCTCATATCACTCAGACTCTCCCTCCTGCCTTCCTCTCTACTTTTAAAGATCTTTGTTATTATACAGGGCCCAACTAGATAATCCATATTAATCTTATCTGAAGGTCAGCTGATTAGCAAGCTTAATCCCACTTTTATTAATGTCCCTTTACCTTACAACCTAGATATTCAGGTCCTGGGGATTCAGACATGGACGTCTTTGAGAGGCCATTATGAACATGATCACAAAATATGGTAAACACTTAAATTTTTTGAAAAGTTATTACTATAAAAGACATATTATTAATTCCCCTCAAAATACTTTCCCTCCCTTCAAACACACTTACCCCATGTTCTTGCCATCTTCTGAAGCAATTCTAGAAGTCCTCTTTGGAGAGTATCTTTAGTGCAATTCCAGAAGTCCTCTTTGGAGAGTATCTTTAGTTGCATTGTCGTGGCTGCCTCTGTGTCCAAAATTGTTTTAAAATATTCAGCTTTCACGGTCATTTGGACTTTGGAGAGAAGCCAGAAGTCTCACAGTGCCAGAACCAGGGAATAAGGTGGATAAGGATACATCACCATGCTTTTATTTGACAGAAATTTTCATAGTTGATCAACAGGATGATAAAAAATACAGTGAATGTCCAAATTTTAAAAATTATTACTGTAAAACATACATTGCCATTAATCCCTTTCAAAATACCCAAGATATTCCTCCCCACTCTCTATATATTTATCCTACAGCTCTTGGCAATGCATCCTTCTTTTTTTCTTTCTTGTAGCTCTGGGTTTGAACTCGGATCTCTGCACATACTAAGCATGGGCTCTGCCACTGAGCTGCATTTCCAGTCCCAGCTATGGAGCCTTTACTGTAATGTTTTTTAAAAATTAAAAATTCATTATGCGTACTGTATCTTTCTATCACCCTTTATATTCACTCATCAAAGAAACAATTGGTGGGTTTGGAACAGATGGGCACCATGATCAGATTTATATTTTAACACAATCACCGTGGCTACTGTGTTGATTATCAGTGTCCCAGTAGCCATACAGCTATCGGTGGCGTGAACAGAAGTAGAAAAGCCAGTTAAGTCATCATATAAATCAACCATCATATCTGTTTCCTAGGCAGAGAGGAGGGAGAGGGAAGGACCAAAACCACGGAGCATGATAAGATTGGGCATTTTGAAGAACTCCTACCCAACTTCTGCTTATATCCCACTGGTCGCTTTTATCTGTAAGGCTGGTTGGAAGTATCTTTCTTTTAAATAACCGTGAACACTTTGCTGCTTTCAAATTCTTCTTCAGAATGAAAGAAGAGTGAAAATGTATAGGAGAACCAACCAACACTCTTTGCTACAAGCCTCGGAACGGGGAAGAGAAAACATGTTCTATGAGCATAGAGCAGGGGTGAAGCCTATGCTAGAGACAGGAAGTCTCTTAGAGAGAAATACTTCAGTCTACGCTTGAAGGACAGGCAGAGCTGCCTCTCAAAGCAAGAGCAAGAGCAGGAGTTTCTGGTAGAAGAAACAGGATCTGCAAAGGCAAGGAGGAGGAGAAAGAAGAAGCCACAAGGAGGAATCTCAAGAAGTTCAGGAAGGCCAGAGCACAGAAGTAAGAAGTGGAAGTGTTAGGTGATGGGCTGCAAGAGTGGGCAGAGGCTAGATGGTGACAGGGTTAAGGAATCAGACTTGGGAAGTAGCACTCCACCCAGAAGCCTGTGTGAAGCTGATGAAAGACTGCAAGCAGGGAGTAGCTTAATTTGGCTTGGCAGCAGAGCTGTGAAAGAAGTGAGGAAAGTTGGAGGTGGTTAAATATGTCAGGAGACAATAGTAGGAATTTAGGCTATGGATGGATGGCAGTGGCCCAAACTGGAGTAGCATCAGGGGAAGGACACAAGTGGAACAGCTTGAAGAAAATTTAAAATACAGAGGATAGGGGGTGTGGCTCAGTGATAGAGCGCTTGCATAGCATGCATAATGCCCTGGGTTCAATCCCCAGCACAGCAGTCGGGGAGGAGAAGGGAGATAGAGACAGAGAGACAGAGACAAGAGAGATAGAGACACAGAGGCAGAGAGAGAGACAGAGATACAGAGGCAGAATCACACAGAGAGATAGAGAGGGAGACAGAGAAGAGAGAAAAGAGAGAGAGAGATCAGTCCTCAGGAGGCATACAAACGCTACTTAAGGCCTCATCTCCTTAAAAAGGCTCTGATACCCTGGCATAGCAGTCACACTCTAATCACAGCACTCTAGGAGCCTGAGGCAAGAGGATTTTAGATTTGAGCCCAGCTTAGGCAACTTGCTTCCAAATAAAAAAGTAAAACGGGGCTAGGGATGTAGCTCAGCAAGAAGGCCCTCAGTTCAATTTTTTGTACAACTAAAAAAAGAAAGAAAGGAAGGAAGGAAGGAAGGATGAAAGGAAGAATGAAAGGAAGAAAAAAGATAGAGAGATGTGATTATCAGTGTCCCAGGAAGGGAACGGAGCAAAATGACAAAATGACCTGTGGAGACAGCTCCAGAGTTTAGTTCAGTTTCTGATTTGTAATAAAGGAGAGTTGAAAGTGGCAGATAGACTCAGATGAGAGATAAGATGTTTTGAGCTTGGCAAATACAGTAATTAAAGTGTAAACTATATAGAATTTAGAGCTATTATTAGACTCTTCTCGATGTATTACTAGCAGTTTTTCCTTTCAATTGAGAAAGAAAAAAAAAAACATTACTATTACTCCACTAGTCCATAGAATGTTGAATGAGTCCCCAGAAGGATCAGAATCAGCTCACCTGTTCTCTTCATTCCTGAAAGTTCCATCAGTGTAGGGTCATCACTTGTATCAGTTCCCTCAGGACCTAGCATTGAAGGCCTTGCTCCAGGAACCCCCTACACACAGAGGGTGTTTTTCCCTATGGGTGACTTTTCTCCATCATCATCCATATTAACCTTCTGTCACTGAGACAAAATATATGAAATCCAAAATTTGAAGGAGGAGAGATTTCCTTTCGGCTCACGGTTTTAGAGGTTTCAGGCCAAGATCAGGAGGTCCAGAGCAGAAACATCAGAGAGGAATGGCATGGTAGAGAAAAGCTGCTGAACTCTTGGCATCTGAGAAGCAGAGAGAAGGGAAAGCACCAGAAAGGAAGAGGCCAGGGATCAGATAGAGCCCCCAAGGTCATGCCTCCATGACCCACTTCTTCCAACTAAGCCCATCTCCTGATAGTCCATTTAGCTATGGATTCACCAGTAGGTTAATCCATTGATGAAGTCCATACCCTCACAATCCAATCACCTTTTCTGCAGTCTGTTAAGCCAGTCAAGTTGTCAAGATTAACTGGCACACCATCTCCAGATGCAGAATTGACAGGCAACTTTAAAATGACCATCTTTCCTGTTAACAACCTAAACAAGGAAACATGTTTAAAGTTTGACCCCACTTGGTGTCCTGTATGGTGTTGTCAAGGGAAGAATGAGTTTCAAGAAAGAGAAATGATCCTTACTGTCAGAGGAGTGAAGTGGGAGGCCAGGTCCTCTCTTGAGCACGGTGAAGGGCAGGTGAGGTTGGGAGGACTGAGACTGGTCCAGGTTTGATGGTATCGTCGTGGAAATGGGAGAAGACACAGGCTGGAGTAATGGAGGAGTGGTGGTGTGCTGTGAGAGTCCTAATGAGAATAAGGTCCATCAGTTTACAGATGCAGAGGAGGAGGAGGTAGTTGGATTATTCTAGAGTGAAGATCTTGAAGGTGGAGGAGACAGAGGGAAAAGTGTTCATGCCAAGTTCTTATTAAACACCTTTGGAGACTTCACAAAGTTTGTCAGCTAGAATCCAGCCCTGGCCCTGACATTTGTCCCTCCATAACTTAGCTGTTGTCCACTTTGCTGGCTTATCTTCTTTCCCTCCTTCCTGAACCAACCCTACTCATACCACCTAGGACTGCCATCCTGCTCTCAGTTTCTCTAAACTGCTGACTTTCCAACTTCTGAACTATTGCTTCATTCTGATTAGAACACCTACCTAATCCTCAATGGTTAAAGCAAATTTCCACCTTCCTCACAAAGCCTCCTCCTGACTTTACCTAGCCAGAATCCATCTCTTGTGCTCCATCAAACTAAAACTTCCCTTCATGTTTCTCTGTCCTTCTCTATGGAGAAGCTGTCTTGCCTTAGACTAGCAAATCAAAAGCAGCAAACTCTTGGGCATAAATAACTGGGCTTTGTGACCAACTGGAGATTCTCTCCCAGGACCTGAGATTGAACTAGCAGGATACAAGAGACATAGGTCCCTCTCAATTTTGGTTCTACACTGCCTGCATGCTGAGGTCATGGCAAAAGGAGGAACCAAGGGCCTTATAGAGTATCATGGCACAGACCTGCAGAGACAGGTGGAGATAAAATAGGATATGGGGTATGGTGGTGCATACCTGTAATCCCAGCACTTGGGAAGCAGAGGCAGGAGGATTGCTGCAGGTTCAAGGCCAGTCTAGGCTACATAGTGAGTTCAAGGCCAGTTTGAAATACATAGGGAAACTCCGTCTCAAAAAGCCAAAAGAAAAAAAAAAAAAGATAGAATACTGGGTAAGAATTGGGGGGAGGTGCTTCTTGCTCCAGGGTTTCCATTAAAGCCCCAGCTAAACATCTTGCAGCTGAGTTCTGGCAGTATTCCAGTACTTTAACATGAATCCAATTTCAATTAGGTTACCCTAAGGCAGCTTCTGTTCCTAGCAGTCAACAGTCCCCACCCCTGAACCAAAGGATTCTTGTGCGTCTGTTAGAGCAGGGACTACCTGTTATCATCAAAGTTCTGGTGGTGTGCATCTGCTTCCACCTGGCTGGCACCCCTGAGGGCAGGGACTATGTCCTGTTCATTCAGCACCCCAGGAGCCTGGCACATGGGGTACTCAAAAATAGTTTATACTGTCACAGTTCATAAAATCATTTGAAGTATCATTTTAAGAAATATTTGAAACTTCTCTTAGTTTCCCCCTATTTTGCTATACTTGCCATATATATATATATATTAATCAAATTGGCTTTCATGTACTCACAAACTCCCTATATTCACATGCTTTGGCTTTCTCCTTCTATTTGGTATTTACCAGGAAGGATTCCAAGTTTGGCAGCATCAGAGACCCATGTCTCTTTCTAGTTGATAAGACTGTGATTTTTACATAAAACTCATCTTTCAGTATTCAGTAGTCTTTACCTGTGAAATGGATCCTTCCCATGAAGGCTGCTGGGGCAGCTTAATTTTAATGATGTAATTTAAAACACATTGAAAGAAGTACAACTCCTGTCAAAAACATACACAGAATCATAGATTTTCAGAGCCAACTGTAGCAGTTCTTATACTTTTGAGTTCCTATGAACCAGCATAGATATTTAAAAATGGAGATGGTGCTAAATTTATATTCTTCCAAAGAATGGTATTGAAACACTAATCTGAGGGAAGAGGATTGCAAGTCGAGCCCAGCTTGGGCAACTTAGTGCCTTACTGAGACCCTGTCTAAAATAAATTAAAAAGAGATGAGGATGTAGCTCAGGGTGAAAGCCTTGGGTACAATCCCCAGGACCCCCAAAAGGACACTAAAACATGAAGCTTCTATTAACGGCATCATTTCATTTAAAAAGTGCATGTAAACACTAAAATTATCATGACGGTTTCTACTTAATTTAAAAAGGTGAAAGACTGATACGATCTGAAAGGAAATCAGAGTATTACCACTTAAGTATCATTTTACTTTATAAAAACTCATGGCATTTTGATTTTCAAATATCTTTAAAATACTTAAATATTTTAAAATGATGAAGTGCTTAAAACTGTGCCTGGTACATGTTAAATTGCTGTGTTATTATCAGCGTGTTTTTTTTTTTTTAATACAAGAGAATACATTTTTCTTCTAGCTTTCCAAAAGGTTCGCTGAGTTTCTTCATGCATTTAGAATAGAACCCTTAAGGCAGCTGTGCCCCAAACACAGCATGCAGTCCTGGACAGCTAGTAACTTGGTGCCACGAAGTCACAAACTTTTAACATTATTGTATCATTTTGAGTTGTATTTTTCATGACTCAGTTGCATGGTGCCAGACTGTGGAGTGTGTAGGCAATAAAAAAAAATGCTATGTAGGAGGGGCACAGGCCCTGCTAACTCCTCCTCCTGCACCCATAACACAGAGTCAACTCAAAACCTGCATGCATCAGGCATTACAGGCACTTGTGCAACTTACTGAGTGAAACACAGCCATTACCAATTGTAACGATGGTATTTCAACCTGCTTATACACATATGTGCCTGTAAAGACAAGTGTTTATTGTTATTAAGCAGACACTTAAGTTTTCTTTAATTATTAAAATGGGCTTGTATAATTTCATAAAATAATCAAGTTAAAAGTGTTTGAGCAGCTGTGGTCTAGAAAGTACAAAAATGTGTCAAATAGTTTTTACTTATGATGTTAGTATAATTACATATATAACATCGCTAAATGGAAAGAAGTGCCTGCTTATTTATTAATTTTTGGAATGTATAGAGTTGTCTCAGACACCAAACTCAAAGAAAACTTTGATCACATCTCTTTATAGACGTTTTAAGACCAGGCTTCCCAGACTGGTCTTTCCAGCAGTATGTACACTGGTGAACAACTATTTTTAAGACTGAAGCACATGAAGAGTAAAGTAAATCAACAATTTCTGACAAGCACCTTGAGCAAGCATTAAGAATTGCAACCACTTCCATCGAACCAGACATTGATGCATTATTTTCATAAAAACAAGTCAAATATACCACTATTTTTATGTTTAGGTTGTTTTGGGCTGTTATAATAAAAATGCTTAAAAATAAAAGCAATGTTGTTACTTATGTACACTAACTACTGTGTAGTATATGGTTTATAAACAGCCCAAGACAATGCCTCTTCGCTCAGTGAGGTCCAGGCAAGTGAAAAGGTTGAACATCTGTGCTCTCACGAGACAAGTTTTGCTGGGGAACTGGATGACTGAGTAACAGATCAAGAAGGTTTAGGGTTCCCAGAACCCTAAATTTGGTGGAATAAAGAAGAGGTGGGAGGAACAGGACCAGGGACAAGTGTGCCAGGTGGTGCCAAATTGAGCACTCCTTCCCAGGAAGACATGAACCAAAACTTTCCTTGTGCAGGAGGGAAGTGGGTGAAGGGTATTCTAAGACCCACGATGGGTCAAACTACAATTTGAGGTTTCCATATCTTACTAATGTGATAAACTCCTTTCTCCTACCCCACTTCAGTCTTCTGAAACATTTACTACAATAGTATCTGAATATTATGAATAAGGTTTCTGGTGGAAATTGAGAAAGGATCTACATTTCCATTTGTGATGAAACAGTAAAGAAGTGAGAGCACAGCCCAGGAGCTAAGAGTGATCACTAGAATAGAAGGTGCCTGAAGCCTCTAGGAATCTCAGCAAGGGGTTGAGCCTGGTTGTTCAGCAGATACCTGTGTTTTATGGCTCCTGGTAATAGGCCCATTCTGATCTTGGACCTGGGCATGAAATCATACTGGTTCCAAAGTCCTGTCCCTCCCCTAGCTAGTTCAGAACTCTGATTTTGTTTTAGTGTCACGCAGAGTCAAGAGAATCCTTCACTTGAAGATTTTAAAGGGCTAGAGAGGAGCCCTATCCTGATGTCTCAGGGCCAGGCAGAATCAGTCTATTAGTATGAAATATTTGACCTCTGTTGAACTAGACGTGTTGTAACGTCCATGTGGTTGGAGAAACATCAGTATTTGTGATGCAACAACTAAGTAGAGGATGCAAGAAATGGCGTTGTTGCTAGGCAACTTGGCTTCCTTAACTCTATGGTTTTGGTCAAGGTGCTACCCTGTGCAAACTACCTCCTCTCCCTCTTCCCTGACACCTGGGATGGTTGATCTTGATTGTCAACTTGACTGGCTTGAGAGCACCTGGGAGATCAGTAAAGCACTCTTTTGGGTGGGTCACAGGAGCGTTATCTTGGGGTCCATGTCTGGTGCCTGCCCCTTTCACCTCCTGCTGTCTTTCTGCTTCCCGACTGTGCCGAGCTGAGAGGCTTTCCTCTATCACATCCTTGAAACCTATGAACTGAGCCAAAATAAACTCTTTCTCCTCTAGCGTGTGTATGTTACTTTGTTCCAGCAACGCAATGACTAATGCTCCCCCCAATTCTCTCTTACAGTCTTAGCAGTCTTGGTGTACAGAGTAGTGACTATAGCTTAGGTTCGGTGTTAAACTAGGCTCCACTAGGCGACCCCTTGCTTCCTACAACTCTCTCTGTGCCGGGGTTCGCATCTGTAAAATGAGTGGGAGCGAGGAATAACTGCCTCATAGACGCCCTAAACGCGCTACCACCCACGGGCTTACCAAAAACTTGACAGTGAATTCCAATCACCTAGCAAATGTATTTCATTCATCATATCCCTCCTAGCTCATTTAAACTTTCTTCTCATTTACATTTTTAATATCCATTTGGGTGGGGAAGTGAGTCTGCATTTTACACCCTTAGTCTGCTGTCCCTCCTTCCCAGGGCCACCCTCCGCCGCTGACGCACAGCGTCCGCTGGTGGGACCCAGGGGCGGCGACGGCGGTCTCAGAGACAGATCTCTTTGGTTGGCTTGGCAATGTCCCAACAGCCTGCTCAGCTCCTCTGCCAGGGAAAGCCGCGGCCGCCAGCCCAGCTCTCAGGGAGGCCAAGAGGAAGAACACACTGCAGGAAGAACGAGGCTGCCGCAGAGGTAACAGGGGCACCACGGCCAGCGCAGGGGGATGGGCGCGTCCCAAGATAACGGGAGGACTGCGCCAAGCCGGCTCGGCCGGACCTGCAACGCCCCAAGCCCTGCGCTCAGTTTTCCTCCCAGATCCCCACCGCGGCTCCAGAAGTGACAGCCACGTGGATCCCCACGCGCGCGGCGGGGGATGGCACGTTGGAGAGGGGGCGGGGCTGGCAGGCCGCCCGAGGGGGGCGAGCAGGGCCTGAGTCCGCGCGCGCGCACGCCGGCTGCCGGGCGACGCCGCCGGGAGCGAGCACGCGCTGACGTCCGTGCCGCTCGCCCAATGAGAGGAGGCCTGGAGGAGGCGCCGTTCCCGCCCTCCCCGCCCCTGCCGCCGCCACACAGGTTGCCCTCGGGAGCCTCTGAGGAGGCGCGGGCCGCCGCAGGCTCCCGCGAGGCAGCGACCCGACCCGAGCGGCCGTTCGAGGCCCAGGCCGCCACTCGCCTCTCCCTCACCGCCCGATGTCCTCAAGATGGAGGCAGCGGGGGCGGCGGCGTGAAGAAAGCCGTGCTGTGGGCGCGGGGGCCCCGGCGGCCCGGGCGGCGGCCGTGGCGGGATGGGGTTGCTGCTCATGATCCTGGCGTCGGCCGTGCTGGGTTCCTTCCTCACGCTGCTCGCCCAGTTCCTGCTGCTGTACCGCAGGCAGCCCGAGCCGCCGGCGGACGAGGCAGCGCGCGCGGGCGACGGCTTCCGGTACACGAAGCCGGTGCCCGGCCTGCCCCTCAGGGAGTACCTGTATGGCGGCGGCGGGGCTGAGGAGCCCGCCGGGGGCTCGGCGGAGGGCGCCGCCACCCCGACCTCGGCCCCCGAGCCCCCCGCCCCGCCCACGCGGGAGACCTGCTACTTCCTCAACGCCATCGTCCTGTTCCTGTTCCGGGAGCTGCGGGACACCGCGCTGACCCGCCGCTGGGTCACCAAGAAGATCAAGGTGGAGTTCGAGGAGCTGCTGCAGACCAAGACGGCCGGGCGCCTGCTGGAGGGGCTGAGCCTGCGGGACGTGTTCCTGGGCGACACGGTGCCCTTCATCAAGACCATCCGCCTCGTGCGGCCCGTCGTGCCCTCGGCCGGCGGGGAGCCCGACGGCCCCGAGGGCGAGACCCTGCCCGCCGCCTGCCCGGAGGAGCTGGCCTTCGAGGCGGAGGTGGAGTACAACGGGGGCTTCCACCTGGCCATCGACGTGGACCTGGTCTTCGGCAAGTCCGCCTACCTCTTCGTCAAGCTGTCCCGGGTGGCGGGCAGGCTGCGCTTCGTCCTCACCCGCGTGCCCTTCACCCACTGGTTCTTCTCCTTCGTGGAGGACCCGCTCATCGACTTCGAGGTGCGCTCCCAGTTCGAAGGGCGGCCCATGCCGCAGCTCACCTCCATCATCGTCAACCAGCTCAAGAAAGTCATCAAGCGCAAGCACACGCTGCCCAGTTACAAGATCAGGTGAGAGGGGGCCGGGCGATGGGGTCCACGGCGGCGGGGCCCCCGCTGCGCGAGGAGCAGAGGCTCGTTATCCCCGCAACCCCTGCGTCCTACCCTGCACGGGCTTTAGGTAAAGAAAGGCAAGCTGTGGGTGCTTTGCTCCCCCACGGCCCTGATGGAGACCTTTGCGTGTGCTCCTGGGCTCCGAGCTGGTTCCCTGGGTGGACGTGGTGCCCAAGAAGCGTGTGGATAACGGAAGGGTGGCCCTGTCCTCATGCAAAGTCGCTTCTGCGGAGTCACTTCTGGGACCGTTAGGCTCGCCCTGTGTGTGGTTGCTGCATGCAGAGTAGCCGCCGTGTCGCTGACTGCAGCATCACCCCGGCCACATTAGGAAATTGTTCCCGGACACAGTACGGTGTGAAGGATGAGCTCATAGCCCCAGTGTGTGCTGTTGTGCCACAGCGAGCCCCTTTTGTTTTGACACTGTGGCCACTCTAAGGGCAGAGGTAGTCGTGATTGCAAAGGAGTACTTTTTGCAGCGAATTGGCAAGACGTGGGAGCCTGTACCTAGAGTGCTTTTCTGTACGTTTTAAATTGTCATCTGCTCCCTGGGGGAAGTTTCTGTAGCATAGATAACAGACTTGGACCATCAAGTGTCTGCTTTCTATGACTGTAAGCTTCTCACTCAGTACTTGAAAGTCATCCCGCACATAGTATTTAATGGCAGGTAGTAACTTTAATATTTTAAAGCCCTCCTGCATCTGATGGCTTAATTTTATATAATATATTTTTTAATATTTGGGTTTTCTTTTACTACCACAGAAGAAATGGAAAGAGAAGTTTTGTAGAGCTAGAAGCTTCTTCTGCCTTGATCTGGGAAGTCTTGTTAGATAGAGTGGAAGGGGTTATATGTGATTCTTATAAAACAACTAAATTTTCAATTTCTGTTTTTGTCCTCCGTTAATTTTGTATAGCTCACAGAATGTTTGAGCCTTTTGGGTGTTTTCCTTTATTATAAGCTTATGTCCATCGTATATTAGTCTTTATCTAATACCCTTTCGTGGACGTTAATTATTTGTCCTTCACTCGTTTTCTTTTTTGTTGTTTTTTGTTTTTTTGGTTTTTTGGTTTTTTTTTTCCGGTACCAGACTCGAACTCACGACCTTGCCCTTGCCAGGCAGGCACTGTGCCGCTGCGCTAAATCCCCAGCCCCTCAAGTCACTCGTTTTCTTCCACAGTCTCAAGCAAGATAATCCAGAAATATTGAGAACTTGGACTGGATTATTGATTTATATGTGTGCCAGATGTACTTTACTAATTGTTTTCTTCAGGCTAATAGCAAAGTGACAGCCTAAAACTTTTGAGAGGCAGAGGAAACAATATGATGAAAATATTCCTATAGATTTCTAGAGGATGGTGAACTGGGTTTGCTTTATGGTTCTGTGATATAGTACTTTTTGAAACCTACTTTTGAGGAGTATAAAGTGAGTAAATTGTAAATTCTTGTGTTTAAGCAGGGAGATGTTTATTTATGGCAGTGTATTGCTAAGAAAGTCATGAGAAAAAGTTACTAAGTTATAATCTGTCCCAACTTGAATAGCTTTCAAGTAATAAAATATGACTAGATTATTATTATTATTATTATTTGGGGATTATTTTCAGAATAGTCAGTGGCAGTGGGGTTGCGTGTCGTTTTGACTTTTTCTTTTTCATGGAGATTTGGATATTCAGTTAAATCTGAAAGATTTTATAAGATTTTATGAGTTAAGAAGCCATTCAGAAGTTCATTATTTTGAATAAATCTGTAACCTTTATTTAAAGTGTGGCAAAACTGCTTTTCACTTACCATTCTATATAAATCTTCAGTATTAAATGACAACCTCCAAAAATGTACACATCTGTGCTCTTCATATTAGAGGGCATCTCACTGGTCAATCAGAAAATACTATACTGAACATGTCATTCAACCTATTAGGTAAGGCTTTGATACTAAACAGAGATAGACAACCTCATCCCTCATGGAGCTTAAAGTCCAGTGAAAACTAAATTACTTAAGAAGATTTACACTAGAGTAGGATTGATGGAGTTGAAGTAACTAGGAAGCTAATTTTAGCTCAGTAAAAGAAAAATAGAAGTGTGGGGATGAAAAAAGGTGCCTCAGGAAGTGTTGACTTTTCATGTCTCTGTAGCTGCTCTGCCAGAAGTGCTTTAAACTGGTGGTGATGTGCACCTGACTCAGTTTCGACATAGGAGAATGAATTGCAGTACATTGAAGATATATCACAATTCTCATAATGAGAATTAAGATAGATGGATTCCATTTTATGGATGAAGGAATAGAGCTCAGATAGTTGAATAACTTGCTTAAAGCCACACATGTGTCAACTAGTGAAACCCAGCTGTGATAAAGTCAGGCTTCCTTTTAAACAGAATTACACTGCATTGTTTCTAAGAGTTTTTTCTTAAAGTGTGTTATCAGTATAATATATGTAGGATATCTTTCCAAATTAAACTAGAACTCTGTAGGATATATTTTCAAATTAAACTAAAACCTGAGTAGAGGTGCCTATAAAGCTTTTTTCCCCCTTAAATCGGAAATTTTGAGGGGATTCTTTTACAGTTAAATTATCAGGTTAAAGCCTTTGGGTACTGATCCACATAGAATTTCTTTTTTAATCCAACAGATTGTGTTTCCAAATAGGTCTTGCGAGTTAATCCTAAATGGTCATCTAATCTTCTTGGTAGAGCTAAGACAAAGAAAATTGTATTGAGTCTTGGGTCCTTTGGCACTTTGAATCATTACATAACAAATATATCTTGCCAGTTAACATTGTTGTCACTACTTCTCCCTTTATTCATTTTTCCTTTTTCATATTGCTAAAGTGAAGTGGACTATTGGGGACTACAGGTTCCTGGTGTTTCACCTAGAGATACTAAGTAACTCAAGTGGTTGCTTCTTTTTTTTTTTTTTTTTTTTTGGTTTTTCTCCGGTACCGGGAACCGAACTCACGACCTTGCACTTGCCAGGCAGGCGCTTTTGCCGCTGAGCTAAGTCCCCAGCCCCAGTGGTTGCTTCTTAAAGATACTTCATTTTACCCAGTTAAACATTGGGTAGCATTATCTTTGTAAAAAAAATTGAATAAATAAATAAAAATGAATATATACAACATCTTTCTAAAAATTTTAATATGTGGAAAATGTGTCTGCTATTTTATTGAGGTTAGGAGTTTCCTGATTCAACCATCTGATTGTTGTGTTGTTTTTCTTAAAACATAGGCTCTAAAATAGTATGTCAGAGTATTTTTAAAAACCCTCGAATTCATCTTCAAAAGATCAAGATTACCACTGATGCGCTTTTCTTTATTTTAATTTTTATTAGTACATATTTATAAGAATGTAATGATTACATTCATCATGAGGAGTTTGATACATGTACATAACTTTCTTTTTAGGTCCTGTTGCAGTTTGTGTCTAGATGTGCCCCCCAAAGCTTCATGTAGTCATGGGGCAGGCTTCTAGAGTTTATGATTGATTCATGGTCCAATGTTGGGATTATGGGTGTGTGTGCTGCACCCACCTTAGGGTGGGTAGCCTGCATACAATTTAAGGGAGGTTTCCTCTCTGCTGCGCTCCTCCCTTTTTGCTCTGGTTGCTTTTGTTGTTTTCCACTGCCATGGATTGTTGCCCTCTGTCATGTGCCCCTCTGCCTTGGAGCCAGCCAAGTATGGTCTGAAAGCTATACGAACTATGAGCTCAAGAAACCTTTTCCTTCCTTAATTTTGGGCCTCGGGTGTTTTGTCTCAGCAACAACAGAAAAGTAACCAAGACATGTCTCCTCCCCTCCCCTATCTTTTGATTGATCTTCTTCTCATTTGCAAAAGATTATCTCCTTGTTTCCTATTATCTTTTATTTTTCTTTTTTATTCATACATTGGGTTTCTCATGTAAGGAAAACCATGAGATAGTGATGTTTGTGTGTCATTCATTTCACTTTATCATTTCAAGGTGTATCCATTTTCTTCACAAATGACTCGTTTATCCTTCTTTCTAGCAGAATAGTACTCCATTGTGTGTAAATACCACATTGTCTATCCATTCATCTGTTGATAGACATATATAGGCTGCTTCCAAGATTTATGAGTTATGCTACCATAAACGTGGTTATGCATGATTACTGTAATGTTATGTCTTTAGGGAAATACCTAGAAAAAATAGCTGAGTCAAATGGAATTTTCTAGTTTTAGTTTTTGAGGAATTTCCATCTGATTTCCATGGTGATCATACTAGTTTATGTTCCCACCAACAACATAGAACGTTTTTTTTTCCTCTTAGCCTTGCCAGGATTTGTTATTATCTGATTTCTTAGTGTAGCCATTCTTTGTGATGGCCATTCTTTGTGGAGTAAGAGAGAACCTCAGTGTTGTTTTAGTTTGCATTTCTTTAATGGCCAGAAATGTTGAACAGTTTTTTCATATATTTATTGGCAATTTATACTTCTTTTGAAAGGTGTCTGTTCATTTTAGGTCCCTATTTTTGATTGGGTAGGAGTAATTTTTTTTTAGTTCTTTAGACATTCTAGATATTAGTCCTCTGTCTGAGGAATAGCTGGCAATTTTTTTTCCCATTCTGTACATTGCCTCTTTATTTTGTTGGTTGTTTCCTTTGCTGTGCAGAAGTTTTTTAATTTGATATGATCCCATTTATTGATTCTTTTGATGTTACTTCTTGTGCAGTTGGGGTTCTGTTCAGAAAGTCTTTGCCTATGCCTGTGTCTTCAAGAGTTTTATCTATTTTATCTTCCAGCAAATTATGTGCTTCAGTTTTAATGTTTACATCTTTGATCTATTTTGATTTTAGTTTAGTTCATGAGAGATAATGGATCAGCTTCAGTCTTCTGTATATGGAGAGACAATTTTTCTAGCACCATTTGCTAAAGAGGCTTTCCTCCAGTGTGTTTTTGGCTCCTTTGTCAAAGATTAGATGACTGAATATGCCGGGGTTGTTTCTACATCCTCTTTTCT